CCCCAAATGAGAATGGGAAAAAGCTACAGTAAAAAGGTGTGTTGGTTCTTCAAGTGAACAACTGTTGTGGTGTTATTTACGACCGAGTGGGCATGCGCACGGAAACCCCAGATGTAGGTTCGTGGGTTCGCCTGCCTGATGGGAATGGCAAGTGATATTATAAGTAAATAGAGGAGTTAAGGAATTCTTTGAGGCTGCTGTGTCGTTAACCTCGTTTGTCAAAGGTAAGTTCGTATTTTTAAAATTCTTTGGGATTAATTGCACACGCTCGCAACCACGGACACACTCACTCGAACGACCTGTTATTCTCTCCCTCCCTCCCTCTCTCTCTCTCTCTCTCTCTCTCTCTCTCTCTCTCTCTCTCTCTCTCTCTCTCTCTCTCTCTCTCTCTCTCTCTCTCTCTCCTCTCTCTCTCTCTCTCTCTCTCTCTCTCTCTCTCTCTCTCTCTCTCTCTTCTCTTCTCTCTCTCTCTTTCTCTTCTCTCTCTCTCTCTCTCTCTCTCTCTCTCTCTCTCTCTCTCTCTCTCTCTCTCTCTCTCTCTCTCTCTCTTTCTCTCTACTCTCTCTTTTCTTCTCTCTCTCTCTCTCTCTCTTCTCTCTTTCTCTCTCTCTCTTCTCTCTCTCTCTTCTCTCTCTCTCTCTTCTCTCGCTCTCGATCTCGATCTCTGTCGCTGTCTGTCTCATTTACTCACTCACTGTCACCGTCACTCTTACTCTTACTCATTCACTCACTCTCCCTCACACCCACACCTTCATTGTCACTCTCAATTACACAGTCTCTCATTTACTCACTCTTACACCCACACCCTCACTCACTCTTACTCCCATACCCTCACTCTTACACTCACGCTAGCTCTTACACTTGCTCTCACTCTCATATACAAACACAAACACACCCACACATCACCCCCCCCCCCACCCCACACACACAAACGGTGCGTGTTCGTGTTCGTGTTCGTGTATGGACGATTCTCCAGGATGTCTTTGTATAAGCGATCGGACAATTTTGGTTTCGACGGATTCCTCTCACGCTCTTCTATCCAAATATATCGATATTATGCCGCGGATACCCCCCCCCCCCCCATTAGCGAGCGTCTTGGCCTTGATAGCAAGGGAGGGCATGGAAAGTACCAGGGAATTTGCGGGGATTTGTTCCCGAGGGCATCACCCAGAGACGAAGTCCTAAAAACCAGGGTATTATGCAAACTTAAAAACCCATACCTAACCTTTTCTCCCTTCGGTAATTGTTACAGAGGGTAGAGGGTACAGAGAGCGACGCACCCTCCCAGAGACAAAGTCGAAAAAAACTATTTGTTTTTTTTCTGCAGGAAATCCAATGATTTCATCAATTTTCGGCGTTGTTTCTTCAGCGAATGAATCGTTCAGGAGATCGAGTACCATTTCTCCATCGACAATCTTGATTTGATAGTCCTGTTAGCAGAGGAGGGCATAAAGTATATCGGGGAAATTATGGGGTAAAACAGGCTTAAATAAGAAGAATAAAGATATAAATACGTAAAACTATCACAAAAACGCTTAAAATCGGCCAATGAAACTCTACGGATGTAAGCGCCATCTTTGAATTTTTGAAAACTACGGGAACCCAACCCATTTTTGAGGGCAAAACTCTGAGAATTCACATGTTACAAACCCCGCCCCCCAAAAAAAAAAAAAAAAAAAGTA